CCATATTCGAAATATAGGTCGAGGACTTTCGAAATATAGGTCGAGGACTTTCGAAATATAGGTCGAGCACAGTCGAAAGATAAGTCGAGCATAGACGAAACATAAGTCGAGCACAGTCGACACATAGGTCAAGGACTCTCGAAATATAGGTCGAGCACAGTCGAAACATAGGTAGAGCACAATCGAAACATAGGTAGAGCACAATCGAAAAGTTAGTTGAGCACAGTCGAAAGATAGGTAGAGTGCAGTCGGTCATAACTCGAGCGAAATCGAAAAGTAGGCCAAAAACAGTCAAAATTTAGGGCGAGCACAGTTGAAAATTAGGTCGACGACAAAGAAAAGATAAGAGGAGCACAGTCAAAAAATAAGTCGAACACAGTCCAAGCATAGTTCGAGCACAGTCGAAACATAAGTTGACCACAGTCGAAGGATAATTTGAGCAAATTCGTCAAAAATATGTCGACCACGGTCTAAGCATAGGTCGAGCGGAGTCGGAAACATAAGTCGACCACAGAGGAAAAATAATTTGAGCACAGTCGAAAAATAGGTCGACCACATTCCAAAGGAAAGTCGAGCACAGTCAAAACATAGGTCGAGGACTTTCGAAATAAAGGTCGAGCACAGTCGAAAGATAAGTCGAGCATAGACGAAACATAAGTCAAGCACAGTCGAAAAAAAGATAGAGGACATTCGAAATCTAGGTCGACCAGAGTCTAAGCATAGGTCGAGCGCAGTCAGAAACGTAGATCGACCACAGAGGAAAGATAAGTCGAGCACAGTCGAAAAAAAATTCGAGCAAACCCGAAATATAAGTCGAGCACAGTCGAAACAAAGGTCGACCATATTCGAAAAATAGGTCGACCACATTCGAAACGAAAGTCGAGCACAGTCAAAACATAGGTCGAGGACATTCGAAATATATGTCAAGCACAGTCGAAAGATAATTTGAGCAAAGTCCAAAAATAGGTCGACCACATTCGAAACGAAAGTCGAGCACAGTCGAAACAAAAGTCGAGGACGTTCAAAATATAGGTCGAGCACAGTCGAAAAATAGGTCGACCACAGTCTAAGCATAGACTGAGCACAGTCGAAACATAGGTCGACCATATTCGAAACATAGGTCGAGGACTTTCGAAATATAGGTCGAGCACAGTCGAAAGATAAGTCGAGCATAGAAGAAACATAAGTCGAGCACAGTCGACACATAGGTCAAGGACTCTCGAAATATAGGTCGAGCACAGTCGAAACATAGGTAGAGCACAATCGAAACATAGGTAGAGCACAATCGAAAAGTTAGTTGAGCACAGTCGAAAGATAGGTAGAGTGCAGTCGGTCATAACTCGAGCGAAATCGAAAAGTAGGCCAAAAACAGTCAACATTTAGGGCGAGCACAGTTGAAAATTAGGTCGACGACAGAGAAAAGATAAGAGGAGCACAGTCAAAAAATAAGTCGACCACAGTCCAAGCATAGTTTGAGCACAGTCGAAACATAAGTTGACCAAAGTCGAAGGATAATTTGAGCAAATTCGTCAAAAATTATGTCGACCACGGTCTAAGCATAGGTCGAGCGGAGTCGGAAACATAAGTCGACCACAGAGGAAAAATAATTTGAGCACAGTCGAAAAATAGGTCAACCACATTCCAAAGGAAAGTCGAGCACAGTCAAAACATAGGTCGAGGACTTTCGAAATAAAGGTCGAGCACAGTCGAAAGATAAGTCGAGCATAGACGAAACATAAGTCGAGCACAGTCGAAAAAAAGATCGAGGACATTCGAAATCTAGGTCGACCAGAGTCTAAGCATAGGTCGAGCGCAGTCAGAAACGTAGATCGACCACAGAGGAAAGATAAGTCGAGCACAGTCGAAAAAAAGGTCGGTCTCAGTCTAAGCATATGTCAAGCACAGTCGAAACATAAGTCGAGGACAATCGAAATCTAGGTCGAGCACAATCGAAAAAAAATCGAGCAAAGTCGAAACATAAGTCGACCACATTCGAGACGAAAGTCGAGCTTAGTCAAAATATAGGTCGAGGACATTCGAAATATAGGTCGAGCACAGTCGAAAGATAATTTTAGCTAAGTCCAAAAATAGGTCGACCTCATTCGAAACGAAAGTCGAGCACAGTCGAAACAAAAGTCGAGGACGTTCAAAATATAGGTCGAGCACAGTCGAAAAATAGGTCGACCACAGTCTAAGCATAGACTGAGCACAGTCGAAACATAGGTCGACCATATTCGAAACATATGTCGAGGACTTTCGAAATATAGGTCGAGCACAGTCGAAAGATAAGTCGAGCATAGACGAAACATAAGTCGAGCACAGTCTACACCTAGGCCGAGGACTTTCAAAATGTAGGTCGAGCACAGTCGAAAAATAATTCGAGCAAGGTCAGAAAATAAGTCGACCTTAGACTAAGCAAAGTCGAGCACAGTCGAAAGATAGGTCGGGCAGTCGACAAGCAACTCGACCACAGTCCAGGCATAGGTCGAGCACAGTCAAAACATAGGTCGAACAGAGCTGAAAGAAAAGTCGAAGACCGTCGAAAGTTAAGTCGAGCACAGTCGAATTATAGGTAGAGCACAGTCGAAACATAGGTCGAGAACAAACGAAAGATAAGACGAGCAAAATCGAAATATAGGTCGAGCACTATCGAAAGATAATCGAACACAGACGAAACAAAGGTCGAGCACCGTCGAAAGATAATTCGAGCACAGTCGGAACATAGCTCGAGCATAGTTAAAAAATACGCTAAGCACAACAAAAAAATATGTCGAGCACAGTTAAAACATCGGTCGAGCACAGTTAAAACATAAGTCGAGCACAGTCGAAACATAGGTTCTGCACAGTCGGAACAATGCTCGAGCACAATCACAAAATAGGCCGAGCACAATCAAAAAGTAGGTCGAATACAGTCAAAAAATTGGTCGAGCACAGTCAAAACATAGGTCGAGCACAGTCGGTCATAGCTCGAGCCCAGGGGAAAAGTAGATCGAGCACAGTCGAAACTTAGGTCGACGACAGTGAAAAGATGCGTCGAGAGATGAGTCGAAAAAACAAGTCGACCACAGTCTAAGCATAGGTCGAGCACAGTCGAAATATTAGTCGACCAGAGTCGAAGGATAAGTCGAGCAAAGTCCAAAAATAGGTCGACCACAGTCTACGCATAGGTAAAGGTCGGCCACAGTCTTAGCATAGGTCGAGCACAGTCGAAACATAGGTCGATCACAGTGGAAGGATAAGTCGAGCACAGTCGAAACGTAGGTTGAGCACAGTCGAAACATAGGTCGAGAACAGTCGAAGATAAATCGAGCACAATCAAAAAATAGGTCGAGCATAGTCGAAAGATAAGTTGAGCACTGTCAAAGCATAGATCGAATTACGTCGAAAGATAAAATCGAGCACATTCGAAACATAGGTAGAGCCTAGTCGAAATATAGGCCGGGTACAGTCAAAACATAGGTCGAGCACAGTCGAAATAAAGGTCGAATACCGTCGAAAAATAAAATCGAGCACAGTCAAAACATAGCTAGAGCACAGTCGGAACATAGCTCGAGCACAGTCGAAAAATAGGCCGAGCACAGTCAAAAAATAGGTCGAGCACAGTCGAAACAAAGGTCGAGCACAGTCGAAAAATAGGTCGAGCACAGTCGAAAAATTGGTCGAGCACAGCCAAAACATAGGTCGAGCGCAGCCGAAACATAGGTAGAGCACATTCAAAACATCAGTCGAGCACAGTCAAAACATCGGTCGAGCGCAGCCGAAACATAGGTAGAGCACATTCAAAACATCAGTCGAGCACAGTCGAAACAAAGGTCGAGCACAGTCGAAAAATAGGTCGAGCACAGTCGAAAAATTGGTCGAGCACAGCCAAAACATAGGTCGAGCGCAGCCGAAACATAGGTAGAGCACATTCAAAACATCAGTCGAGCACAGTCAAAACATCGGTCGAGCACAGTCAAAACATAGGTCGAGCGCAGTCGAAACATAGGTACAGCACAATCGAGAAGTTAGTTGAGCACAGTCGAAAGATAGGTCGACCACAGTCTAAGTATAGGCCGATTACAGTCGAAACATCGGTTGAGCACAGTCAAAACATCAGTCGAGCACAGTCAAAACATAGGTCGAGCACAGTCGAAATATATTTAACAGTTGAAAAACGGACCTAGAAATGCAATTTTTGTCAGATTTTTTGCTGGCACAACTGAAAAACAGATGGGAAACGATGCACGACAAGATAGGAAAAATTGACAAATGATATATGGGGATACGGGAGTGATCAGAAAACTATCACGTTAATCGGATCAACTGGAGTTTTTTGGCATACTCAAATAACGCTTATGACCAGCTTATATCCTGAAACGTCAAGGCCGGAAAACGTTCAATGAGGAAATTAGGTTTTTTTCTGTAAGCTAACAATAACTTGCACTTGTTTCCTTCTAAACAATCCGACGATTCCGCTGAAAAATTGCCTTGAAAATTTTTCAGAATTGGCTGAAGAATTCTCCTTTTTAGTAGTTGTTACAAGATGTGTTGACAAAACGCGTTTCAAATCGTCGATCTCTTTCGCACCGACGGACATTACTACTAATACTTCCGCTGGTTTCACGTTTTGGGAAAAATGCCTGATTTCTTGATTCCAACCAATTTTCGATGGTGGTATAAAAACAGCCGACGAAGTTGAGTTTCCTGCGCTGCGCATGTGAAAAGACTTGAAGTCATGTAGCTTTAAATTGCTGCATATTCTAGTCTGCGGTTTACTTCTTGGTTAAATTTAGACGGCTACTTCAATTTCATCAGACTCATTTTTTGGCTCCGAGAGCCTCAAATTGAATGTTCACATGACAGACTGCAGTTAAAACGCTACTCTTCTAACATTATGAGATGTAAATCAAGTTACAATGGACTATTTGTGCACTTTTAGCCAAGAGAATCTCGAAAAAAAATTTGTACTATCAGAAACTTATTTGCTTGCGTCAGCAAAATTAACCATGCATCAAAAATACAGTTTTAGTCAGTTAAACAGCAAGCAAATATCATCGAATAGTCGCAAGCAACTATCAAACAAAAGAAAGTGATAAAAAATTGTCTTTCAAATTTACGCAAAGGTATCTACGGGTCTATACATTGTTAATTTACTAAGTTTTTCGCATCAAATTCTGGGAGTTTAGCACTTCTTTCTTTGATGTTGCCCATGGAGGGTTGTTACCTCATTGGGCTAATCTTCTTAATCGGATGGGCGGCGCCACCAGGTAAGATTGAGAATAAATAATCAAAACTTTTTGTTTTGTGAAGCAACGAGCGTGTGAAGGGGCGGTTTAAAGAAAACTTTGTCTTCGACCTTTTTTTTAGATCAACCAATTTGATTTTTTGAGCTCTCCGAAAGAACTATGATGACCCTATTTTTATATGAACAGGCTAAAAATGACATTTTGAGCACTTTCAAAAAAATTGACCAAAAATTGCGTTTTTTCGGCGCGCATTCCTCCCTCAAATTTAGTTATATTGGCGCCAAAGGCCTTTAGAAAATTTGCGAGGTTGGCCATCCAAAAATGGATCTCGTAAAATTATACCAAAGAAAAAAGGGAGGACCCTTTGGAAAAGTTTGGCAAACAGAATTGGGGGAAGGGGGGGGGGGGCGGTTGCGGCACGCTACTGGTTTTGTGTAAATTCCATAGTTTACGAACAGATTGCGAACACAAAACTCATTGCGAAGTCAATTATGTAAAAAATACTATAACTTTTCAAATTTTTATATGCGGTAGCCTTTGAATTCAAGCTCCGGGACTCCGTTGCAATTAAACTTGCTCTCAAAGTGCTTAAAAAGTTCGTCTGTTTGCCGAGTTTTCATCTGCACTTTTTTTTTTACAAAATTCCAAAATCTTCAACGTATAATATCCAAATAGCGATAAAAATTTTAGTAAAAAAACGGCTCCGTGATTTTTATAAAATGATGTTCTGTGCAGTGTCCTCTGGAAGTCTGTCTCTGACGGACCACCCGACAGTCATCACCATTCGGGAGAGTGAGGCGCTGGACACTGACCCGGTGTGGAAGTTCGTGGTCAGAGATGAGGACGATGACCCCTTCACCACCTGTGCACTGAGTGGAACAGATGCTGCCCAGTTCACAGCTACTGTGGATCCCATTTTGGGGTGTCTTGTGACATTCAACGGAGACAAGGACTTCGATGCGGGAGACGAGAAGTTCAAGTTCAACCTGGCGTGAGTGACCTTCATTTTGACTCAGGTTGGGATGTGATGCACTGGTTGATTTTAGGGAGAGCCGGACGCCTTTTTTGAAAATTCGGCACCCTAGTCATTAGAAGGGCACTCAAACAAAAGGGCGCAAAAAGCAAAAAACAGAATCAAAATCTTTACCAACAAAATGGGCCAAAAGAGGTCTTTATAGTATTTTCTAGAGACTCGGAAAACAAATTTTTGAAAAGTTTTGTGCAATTCTGTTGAAATCCTCCTCCATCTAAAAAACTTGATCCATCCCCGATGTAGTGTATCTGTTTCTGTATAAGCTGAATAACTTTTATTTGGTGTTTGAATAATATTTGAGTTATTTTTAGTTGGGCAAAGCATATGACAAAAAGAGAATGATCTTTTTTCTGTGGGTGCAGATACAAACTTTTTTCAGTACGTGTCTTAAAAACTTACTTTTGTGAGGTATTTGAAGTTAATGTTACCAACTCATTATGTGGAAAATGAAATTAAAAAAGTGAATTATTCTATAGTGTCAACACTGGCAACGCCCTTGATAATGGACCAATCAATATCAACGATGTGCTGGTGGCGATAATAGACGAAGACGACGAGCCCCCCTGTTTCACGACAGTCTCCCCTCTCGCAATTATCATCTCTGAAAACACGAAGGCAGGCACTGTGATTGTGAACCCAACTGACGTCGCCTTCTCTGATCCAGACACCTCTGACCAGTACTTGGAGTTCAATCTCGCATGTGAGCTGGGTTATGTAGTGCTATTGATAGAAAAAGATATTTCTGTCAATTAGATCAAAATATTGGCGTCTCAGCACAGGGGCGGATCTAAGATTTTCTCGGGGAGGGGGCTGTATTTTTAAAAAAATTTTGGCCTTTTTTATTGACAAACTGATTTTCTGTGGCGTTCCTTATCACTATCAAGACGCCATATTTTGTAAAGCCGCACGCAGACGAATGTTTGAGAAAACACGCCAAAAAGACAATTTGATGCCATTTTTATAAAGTTTTGACCAAAAATTGCGTTTTTTTCCGCGAGCGCTCCCCCTCAAAATTATTTCATTGACGTTCACTGTCCAAATTGAACCTCTGCAGAAGGGGGCGTCACAATCCCCCACCCCCAAAATCCGCTGCTGTCGCAACATCTATTGATTTTTTAAAGTCCTTTTTGATGTGGTTTGTCAATATTAAACTCAGTCAGGCACTATGTCTAAAATTGAGAACAGCTGCCGGGTTTTATAAATTACTCCCCTCCTACTACAAAATTATAGTATTCGACCTTTTCAGAGGTGGGTATTCGTTAATACTTATAGAGCTCCTATTTGTTATCCAACGCGCCTTTCGAAACTTTGAGGGTCGTTCAGAAAAAATTAAGGTAATAAAACTTGTCAAAATATAGGATGCGCTACTTTGGGCGGTGAGATTATTGTTTTTGGGTATCATGCGTGACTTCAATTTCAGTGAATGTTGTTTCTAGGACAATTTCACGCTTTAAATTAGCGTTGATTGCGCAGAAGGGAATTTTCAGCTCCGTGGTCGCTCTCTGATACTGCAAACTGTAATTAGTGCCGTAGAAACGAAGACAAGTCATTGTTAATTAAAAATATTTTGAAAGGGTCTCAAAAACTTTCTAAGATAGAATGATTCCCTGTTTGTTGTTTTCAGCCGTTGTTTACCTGTTTGTTGTTGAAAAGATAGAATGATGTTGTTTGTTGTGTTCAGCCGATGGTTATAACGAATTCTACCTGCCGACCAAGTTCCTGCCGACAATAGTGAGCCGAAGACAGTTCGACTACGAACTAGTTGCAGATCAGAGTCTCACCATAGACCTGGAGTTGAAGGACGCCAAGGGCAACTCGGCAGCCGGCTGCACCAACCCACTGGCCATTACTGTCACAGTCACTAATGAGAACGACAATGCACCTCTCTGTGACCCGACTGCATTCTACGCCTCACTTGCAGATGGGCGCGCTGCAGGTACGATTAATATCAGTTCTGATTATACATTGGAATTCTCAACCTTTTCACATCAGCTCTGTTCATCTTTGCCATACCAATTTGAGCCCCAAGGCCGTCATTTTTCTTGAAGTCTTTTTTTTTCAAAAAAAAAAATCAAAAACACAATGCGCTTTTTTTGCGCGTTCATCTCGACCATCTGAGGTTTTGCACTCGAATGGATATGAAAATTTTTAAGGTATCTAAACGAAAAAAAATGATTTTCATGTGTTTTTTAATGATTTTTCATATCATGAAACTGAAATCATAACCATTTCAGGTACTTTTGGAGCCCCAATCGCTTGTACAGACCGAGACGACCCCCTTTTTGCACCGGTGTGCTCTCTTGAGAATGCACACGCCACCTTCGGAGTGGACAGTTCCCACACTGGAGCAAACACATACGCGGGGGCCTGTCAGCTGAAGACAGTGAGTGTTCTGAACATCAACAATGCAGACCCCTACGGATACTTCAACTTCGACATACTAGTCAAAGATGGCAACATCAACGGAGTCCAGTTCACAACCACTGTTGCTGTATCTATCAAGGTTAGCCAGTCCTTTATATTTACAGAAACAGACAGCAAGAGTGCCCGGTGACGATTTCTTCAAATCGATTTCAGCTTCTGAGCGTATTCTTATTAAGATTGTTATAATAATTGTTTTATTATTATTATTTCAATTATTCAATTATTTCAAATATTTTAATTATTATGTCAGTTTTTGCGCGTTATAATGTTAAACAAGGGTCAGTGCGTTGAAAAGCATGATTTCAACTTTTGTTCCGTCCACTCTCGAAGAACTAGAAGGAACTATGATGTAGGGTCCGTGTATTTAATTTTTTTCAGCCAATTCTGACTACCTCGAAAAAAAATTCGTAAGGACCAAGTGTATTTTTTTTATAGATCGTGATTCGAATTCTAAAGAACAAATTGCTAAAATTTGTCTCAGTTTCGAGAAATTGCTAAAACTTGTCTCAGTTTTGGAAAATTGTTTTTATAAAACTTTGTGTGATCGGAACACTCTCTGATTTTTGCATGAACAGCGCCTGGCTATCCTTGTTTATTGAAAAAATGGTATTGTGATTTCTGGGTTATTTTTTGTTGATGTTTAGTTTCGTTCCGACTATCGAAGAAGTTACAAAATTAAGTTGATCGCGGCAATTTGTACTCATTAAAATGAAAGTTTCTTATTAATAATTCAGTTTCATAAAAACTGTAGGATACACCAGCAATGATTGTGATTTAGAAAAATGTCTAGTACAACTTTAAACTTCCATTGAATTTGATAGCTTGTTGTTCCGACTTTTGATACGAAAGTAACGGAATATTTGTGCTCGGGGTGGGTTTTTTTTTCTTCAGACAAATTTCGACTTTTTAACTAGCCATTTTTGACGGAATTTTTTAATATCATTCAAAAGGTATTGTTGTCTTGAGCTTAAATTTGAAAAGATATTTCACCCGTGATCATTTTTCGTAACGTTATGAGGGTTTAAATATTGCCATTTTGACCAATTTGGGATAATTAACGAGCGATATAATTCGAGCTATTAACGCGTAAGCGGAGATTTAATCCGTCCTATAAATCGTTCCAAATTGGTTGAATGAAGCTTATTTGCCATAATTGATTTGTTACAAGGAACGAAATCTCTCTTTTTGCACTTAATATGGCAAGTGGGGAGATGATTTTTATTACAAATTTCAAATTTTAGAAAAAAAATTCATTTTATTTTATTTCATTTAGTTTTTTTATTACTGCTGCTCCGTAAACCCTAAAAGGCAGTCGGAACATTCAGGGCTTCGCCCTGATACGAGCAGTCTTGTTATATCTTTGTTGCCGTCTACAAAACTTATCGCCAATATCGGTCGATTGTTTTTATTCCAACTTTCGATACGAAAGTAATTTTCCCACTTTCGATACGAAGTAATTTTTCCCACTTTCGATACGAAAGTAACGGAATATTTGTGCTCGGGGTGGGTTTTTTTTTCTTCAGACAAATTTCGACTTTTTAACTAGCCATTTTTGACGGAATTTTTTAATATCATTCAAAAGGTATTGTTGTCTTGAGCTTAAATTTGAAAAGATATTTCACCCGTGATCATTTTTCGTAACGTTATGAGGGTTTAAATATTGCCATTTTGACCAATTTGGGACAGATAACGCGCGATATATTTCGCGCTATTAACGCGTGAGCGAGATTTAATCCGTCTTAGAAATCGTTCCAAATTGGTTCAAGGAAGATTATATGTCATAATTGATTTGTTAAAAGGAGCAAAATCTATCACTTTGTACTTAATATGGCGTGCGGGAGGATGTTTTCACAAAAAATCTCAAAGTTTTTAGAAAAAAAACTTTAATTTAACTTTATTACATTTAAATTTTCCATGTTATTACTGCTCCATAGATCTTAAGAGGCAGTCGAAACATTCAGGGCTTCGCCCTGATACACGCAGTCTTGTCATTTGTTGGTTTCGACGATTTAAATACAATTTTGTACTAAATATTATTGTATTATCTGTAAAATACTGATGCCTTAAACTTAATTTAGAAAAGTTTCCTTACTTAGTTGATTTACTTTTTCGAAACTTTTATCAATTAATTTGTGAAAAGCGACATGAGGCACGTTTAATCTACTTGAGACACAGGGGTGGATCTAAAAGTCTTTTGAGGGAAGGGGGGCGGATCATCAAAAACGTTTAAAAACGTTAACAAGGTCGACCAAACTGATTTTCTAAGACAATTGCACGCTTTAAATTTGCCAATGATGAGACCCATAAACGTGAGAATTAGTAGGGGCAGTCAAAAGTTTTGCTCTAATACGATCAGTTTTTTTCGTTTTCTGTGTCACAAGAATGGTAGAATATACAACCCACTCTGAAATTTCATGGATAACAATAGATTATTTCATGTTTTCATTCTCAGTATCCTCCAAAATAAAAAAAATGATTAAATCGATTGAAACGGATTACGATTTTTTTTCTTAAATTAGTTTGCAATTTTCAACACAGTGCAGTGTTTTCTCAAATTGGCAGTTTCTTTTGATTTACCCGGCGTTTTATTAGAAAACTGGAAAAATGAGACTTATTTTCGCTTGGAAAATTGAAAATAGGTATATTTTTTTACTTTTTCATTTCACATTTTTAATGTTTTGTTTTCTCTATTCTCTAGTTTTTCTGTTTCTACCTTTAAAGTGTGGGAGGAAGGTTGAGTAGAACGAGATGTGGTCGGGGTGACGAAATTGAGTGTGGCGGAGGGGGTAGGGGGGTCGTGGGAAGGCAATTTGGGGGTGTGGAAGTTGGAGGAAAGGGATACAAGAGAATGAACCTGTTCGTTTGGGTTATAGTTTTGTAGGACGCTGCAAAAACTGGATTTAACATTTCAGATTTGCAAAAATAATCAATTTTCATGGATTTTGGGCCCAAAAAATGATTATATTGCCATAAAAATGGAATATAATCAATCATAATGAATTATAATGAATTTTTGATTTTGAAAAAAAAATTTAAAACCTCCTACGAATCTTTTTTAATGGTTAGAAGGGTTAAAAAATTTATTATGTGGGTTAAGTTTTCTTCCGAATAATCCATAATAATCAAACATTTTCCATGAAAATCTAGAGTGGGGCAGCAAGGGTTGTCGTAAAGGGTTGGGATCCCTCATTTAGTATTTGTTTGTGAGATCAATTTTTTCGACCAGCGCTTAAGTTTTTTTGCACCAATTTATTATTCTAAATTCGACGGGCAGAATGCCCCTAAAAACAATTTTCTGGTTTCAGCGTTTCAAAAAGAACCCAAAACATTCTTTTTTTGCTTGTGTTTTACAAAATTTTACCAGCAGCGCAAATAAAAAAAAATGTCCCTACAGTGATTTGGGAAAGCACGGAAAAACAATTCGGTAAATTGATAAACAAAATTCAACAACGTTTTGATTCTCCCCTCCCCAAAATTCCTGCGAACGCGCTGGATTAACCCGGGTCGAGTCCGCGACTTAACAAAAGACCCAAATTTGGAAATTCCAGACCGGCGCGACTTTATATTAGCAATTCAAGACTTGGCAACTGAAGATCAGCGCGACTGAGAAGAAACCACCGCGAACGGTGCGACTCAAAAAACCGACAAGACCGGCGCGACCTAAGGTAATTGCGCGTTTGGCGCGACTGAAAGTTTCAATTCCAGACCGGAGCGACTGAGAATAAACCGCCGCTACATGCGCGATTGAGCAAAATACCATAAGTCTTTTCTTAAGTCGCGCCGTCGGTCGTATCTTAAGTCGCGCCCTTTCAAACTTTTCTTGAGTAAAGACTCGACATAAAAAAAAATTGACGCCGCGACTTGAGAAAATATTGACAGCGCGACTTAAGAAAATACTGCCGGCGCGACTTGAGAAAAAATTTGAGCGGCGCGACTGAAGAAAAGACTGACGGCGCGACTTAAGAAAAAGCTGACGGCGCGACTTAAGAAAATACTGACGGCGCGACTTAAGAAAAGATTTAAGTGGGGTGACTTAAGAAAAAACTGACGGCGCGATCTACTAAAAGACTTAAGCGAGGCTACCTAAGAAAAGACTGATGGCGCGACTTAAGAAAAGGTTGACGGCGCGAATTTAACACGCAGCGCGACTTGAAAACGATACGCGGCGCGACTCACAAAGCCTTTTCTTAAATCGCGGACCTCGATCAAATGAAATGATGAGCCAGTCATGTGTCAACAATGAAAAATGTAGCATTTTATCTTTAGCATTTTACCCGCCCTCTCTAAAAACTACAAATTAAAACTACAACTAAGTATATTTGTTTCATTCTAATGTTCTAATTCTTTGCAACTTTTGCTCAGAAGTATCCGAGTATACCTTGACACATAAAGTTGCATCACAGCAGTTTGTTTCCAGATATCAATGAAAGTAAAAACTGAGAATTGCTGGATAAAATGAAAGAATACTAAGGAAAACCGAAACACATAAATGCTGGAAACATTTTCTAAATAATCGTCAAAATAATTTAGTTGCAAAAACTAATTAAAAAAAAACAGAATAGCTTTTCGCTTTGTTTTTCTTTTATTTGGACGGCGGAAACTAAGCTTTGAACCACGGGAGGATTTAAAGAGCAGATGCCCTTCTCCCCCTCAGGGATTCGTTCCCGTGTCGACCCAAAATGGTCTCCCCTCTTTGTACTATTTTGAGATATCCATCTTGGGTAACGGACCCTACAAACTTTCTAAGGGCGCCTTTGGCGCCAATAAATAATAATTTTGAGGGGGGAGACTTTAATTTAAAATTGATGATTATTAAGTCACTAAGCATATAAAGGTATACTGGTAAAAACGACAGTATTTGAAAACTAGATGGAAAATTTTCATTCGAGATGGCTCACTTCTTTCAAGCGTGGGTTTATGAGATAAGTTTTCTTTCGAAATTAATAACAAACTTAAAATAAAGTATGAAAATATTTTTAAATCAGTTTCGACAAAAAAAACGTCATTTTGAACATCAAAAACTATCAATTAAACAATCCAAACTTTTAAAATATTCTGCTCCTTTGTCAGGGTAGGATC